TTAAGGCATCAGTTCAATAGCCAAAGATCTAATTTGAGCCCTTGAAATTTAATCCATGAGCAATTTCAATGAATTAAGTCAAAGGTTGTAGAAAATAGCAGTAAAATCTATAAATAATCTTATATTGTTTCAAAGAGAATTTTCTACATAGTAACAGAGTATAACTATGTTCAAAGTACCAAAATAATATTTATCACAGAAGAAACTCCCACAAGGGTTTAGATGGCACATAAATAACCTTAAGGCTAACTGTATGATGTGAAACATAATAACATAAGCTTTAGTCAGCCTAACTGAACCTGTGCTATATAGCTCAGTTTTAATAACAGTAAGATATGTTTTGTCATAACAATGTTCGAATATTTTAAATAAATTGGAATTTTCATAAAGTGGATCAAAAAGAACAGAAACTTCAAAAGGATCTTCACCAAAGACATACAGTACTATGTCAAAAGGCTATAAAAAGTCATGAAAAATATGGCAAGGTGTATGATGTCATTAGATGAAACTGAGGTACTTGCTCTCTTTTTCAACCTTTCTTTTACTGCCTACGTAACACAGCCATCAACAAGTAAGAAATCCAATTCAATAAACCAGTCTTTAGATATTAAGAACACAATCCCATTTACAACTGCAACAAAAAGAATAAAATACCTAGGAATAAACTTAACCAAAGAGGTGAAAGATGTGTACACCAAAAACAATAAAACATTGTTGAAAGAAATCGAAGAAGACACAAAGAAATGGAAAGATACTCTGTGCTCTTGGATTGAAAGAATTAACAGTTAAAATGTCCACACTTCCTAAAGCAATCTATACACTCAACGCAATCCCTATCAAAGTTCCAATAACACTTTTCACAGAAACAAAGAATCCTAAAATTTATATGGAACAACAAAAGACCCCAAATAGCCAAAGGATACCTGAGAAAAAAGAACAAAGCTGGAGGTATCACACTCCCTGATTTCAAAATATACTACAAAGCCATAGTAACCAAAAAAGCATGGTACTGGCACAAAAAGGACACACAGATCAATGGAACAGAAATGAGAGCCCAGAAATAAACCTACACATTTACAGACAGCTAATATTTGACGAGGGAGCCAAGAGCATACGATGGAGAAAGGAGAGTCTCTTCAATAAATGGTGTTGGGAAAACTGGACAGCCACGTGCAAAAGAATGAAAGTAGACCATTACATTACACCAACCACAAAAATCAACTCAAAATGGATTAAAGACTTGAATGTAAGACCCGAAACCATGAAACTTCTGGAAGAAAACACAGGCAGTACGCTCTTTGACATTGGTCATAGCAGCATATTTTCAAGTACCATGTCTGACCAGGCAAGGGAAACAAAAGAAAAAATGAACAAATGGGACTACATCAAACTAAAAAGCTTCTGCACAGCAAAGGAAACCATCAACAAAACAAAAAGACAGCCTAACAATTGGGAGAAGATATTTGCACACCGTATATCAGATAAAGGGTTAATATCCCAAATATACAAAGAACTCATACATTGCAACAACAAAAAACCCAAAATCCCAATTAAAAAATGGGCAAAAGATCTGAACAGAGATTTCTCCAAAGAAGATATACGAATGGCCAACAGGCATATGAAAAGATGCTCAACATCATTAGCTATCAGGAAAATGCAAATCAAAACTACAATGAAGTATCACCTCACTCCTGTCAGAATGGCTACAATTAACAAGACAGGAAACAACAAATGTTGGAGAGGATGTGGAGAGAAGGGAACCCTTGTACACTGCTGGTGGGAGTGCAAACTGGTGCAGCCACTGTGGAAAGCAGTATGGAGTATCCTCAGAAAATTAAGAATAGATCTACCGGATGATCCAGCTATCCCACTGCTGGCTATTTATCCAAAGAACTTGAAAACACAAAGGCATAAAGATACATGCACCCCTATGTTCACTGCAACATTATATACAATAGCCAAGACTTGGAAGCAACCTAGGTACCCATCAAGGGAGGAACGGATAAAGAAGATGTGGTGTATATTCACAATGGAACACTACTCAGCCATAAGAAATGATAAAATCCAGCCATTTGTGACAACATGGATGGTCCTTGAGGGTATTATGCTGAGTGAAATAAGTCAGAGGGAGAAAGTCAAATACTGTATGATCTCACTCATAAGCAGAAGATGAAAACAACGACAAACAAACACATAGCATTGGAGATTGGATTGGTGGTTAACATGGGGAGGGAGGGCAAAAGGGATGATTAGGCTCACATGTGAGGTGATGGACTATAATTAGTTTTTGGGTGGTGAACATGATGTAATCTACACAGAATTCAAAATATATTACGATGTACACCTGAAAGCTATATAAGGTTATAATCCAATGTTATTGCAATAAAAAAAAATACCAAAAACAAATAAATAAAAAAAAAATCAGTCTTTAAAAAAGAAAAAAGAAAGCTTTCTAGAATGCCATATAAAACTGAACTAGAAGACAAGATACGCCCAAAAACAATAGAAGTTTTAATTTAAAATGTGTTTTTTAATTAAATATACTATAACTTTACACGAATCTTAATCTATAGAAGTACAGCCATGAGAAATAGCCAAGAACTTCACTTTAACAGAATGATTACTGTCAACAGCAAACCACAGTGATATTGATTCATGCAAAGTCTTCAGATGTAACACACTTTTCAGAAATCTTTCTAATTTTCTAATTCTATAAATGTTTATAACAAGAAATCAAAAACATATGTAAATATGCTTTAAATCATTTCCCCAAAAAAAGTACACTTATCAAGATAGTGAATGGGGAAAACAGTCATATTTTTTTATTCCAGCATCCAGAATTCCTACCTAATCAATCAAGGGAGGCAGCAAGGCGAGGAAAAAGCCTCAGGGCCAGTTTCCACAAACTGCTTTATGTTAGCTTTCCCTGTAAATTTCTCCAGATTAGCTCACAGATATATAGAGATAGACTATAGACTGCAAACGATTTATTTAGTGTAACATTGTGTTGTGTGTCATTTCAATTTGAATGGCTTTAGACGTGGGGATGCACTCTAAATCACCATAGACCCCAACACACTCCACTGTCCCATATGCGGCTACTTCACACATTTTTATTAATTAACTGGCTACTGTCTACTCCAAAATGATGGTGGATGGTGTTATACAAAGGGACCCAAACTACTATAGTATGAAAGGCAAAGCTCTCAACAAGTTTTAAAAGAAATGGCTACAAAGAAACCTTCCTGACTATAAAGTTCAAAGTTTTCCACAAGTAGAGTAATAACCTTAGCCTACAGATTCCCTGATCCAGATATTCACCTCGGCTTTATCTGGTCTTTCGAGTCTTACTTGTATTGCCCCCCTGCACTTCTGCCCACCATGTTGACCATCTTGACCACCAGCCATGACCAATCCACACGACTCTATTATATAACTATACCTCTATGTCTGCCTAATAGCTGTAAAAACGCTCAGTGCGTATCCAGTACCCTTCATCAATTATTCAAAGTGAAACTCATAAGAATTTGAGACTGGCCCCAAAACAGATATATGTACCTAAAATATAGCTGCTAGAGGAACCATTTGTTCATAAAATATTTCTCCCAAAATCTGCTCAACAAATTTTCTCCATCAGATTATCTTTTTTACTTGTTTTCTGTCTACGAAATAAAACGGATAAGGTAAAAAGCCCAACATAATAAAGATACTTTTTACATGACACCGAAAATTTATCCAATAAAAGAAGGAACATAAAAGAAGAGGCTTAGCTATTACCATAAATCCATCATGAATACACAGGAAGAATTACCAAAGAAACACTCAATTACCTGCCTAGATAAATAAAGGGTTAAAGAATCAACAAAACTTGGTCTCAACACTCCTTAACAGTCTTTAAAATTAGTGAAGACCCCAACTTATATAAGTTATATTTATAGATGGTTACCATATTAGAAATTAAAATTGAGAAATTTTAAAAATATTCCTTTATTTATTTTAAAATAATAAGCTCATTATATCTTAACATAACATTTTTATGAAAAATACTATAGTTTACACACACAAAAATTTAGTGAGAAGAGAAGCAGTTTTACACTTCTGCAAATCTCTTTACTATCTAGATAGCTCACATAAAAGAAGATAGCTAGATTCTAAAAACTGTTTCCACATTCAACATGTTGTATGTTATATAATCTTTGGAAATCTCCACTATTGTTTGTGAGAGAATTAATAGCACTAACCTCACAGACCCCTTAAAAGAATATTAAGGAGGGCCAGCCTGCTGGCATAGTGGTTAAGTTCACGCACCCCGTTTCAGCAGCCCAGGATTCGCAGGTTCGATCCCCTGAGTGGACCTACCACTCAGCAAGCCACGCTGTAGCGGCATCCCACATAAAATATAGAGGAAGACTGGCACAGATGTTAGCTCAGTGACAATCTTCCTCAAGCAAAAAGAGGAAGATTGGCAACAGATCTTGTCTCAGGACCAATCTTCCTCACACACACAAAAAAAGAATATGAAGGAGTCCCCAAAACATACTTTGAAAACAACGGATTGCTTAATCTACAGCCAATAAACCTGGAATGAAAATTATGGAAATAAATATAATTATAAAGACATAGAAATGCAGATACTGAAGAGAGGGTAATGATTTTATTTAGAGAGTAACAGAGCAAAGTTATTACCCAAATACAATTTCAGATTCTCATATAAAATACGCTGACATTTCAACGTTTTAAAACACCTTGGATTATGTTCATTTTATCTGTCAGATCTTGCTATAAAAATTTTAACGTGTTTTTCAAATGTCTGACTTGCTTTATGACTAAAAAACGCATACATATTGTTTACTCTTGAAATTTTAGACCAGCAGTCTAGGCAATGACTTTAAGAATAAACTTGCAAATTTATTTTATGATGCATACGTGTTCCAAAATGTGAAGGAGTCCATAAGAAGTCTAATGAACGTATTCGCGACTAAGGGCTTAAGTAAACCTACCTCTTCCGCCGCTGCCTCTGAAAGCAGGCCTTCCTTCTGAGCGCAGGTCACGTGGAAATAGGCTCTGCACATCCCTGCATCACAGCTAATGCAAACTCCAGTTCTAGCAAAACGAGGGTCTTCGCAGAAGCTACACTCCTACAATGGAGTAACAGGAAAACTCTCAGAGGAAAAGTATTTCCAGAACAAAGGGTGCATGCTCATACAGAGCAACCACAAAATACAAACAGTGAACCAACATTACATCAACACAAAGAATAACTGTAGGCAAGCCAAGAGTTTATATAAAAAAAGTAATTCTCAATACATAGTTCTAATATACCAAAATTCCACTGATATAATAATGATGCTAATAATAATAATTAATATTATTTGAAGGCTTACCATGTGCTGAGCACTATTCTAAGCATTTTACACATATTAGTATGTGTTTACATATAAATGATTACATAGATTAATAATCATTATTAATGATTATTATAATCATTTGACACTCTATTTCACACTAATATGTGGAAGAGGTACTATAATTATTCCCATTTTACACATGAGAAAATTGAGGTGAAGACAGGTTAAGAAGTCTGCTCAAAATAACACAAAAAATAATTGGGAGTCAGTCTTCAAACCAGGGTTAACCTTACTTCAAAGTCCATGCTCTTAAATATTAAGCTATACTGACTCGAACAATATAATACTACTTGGAAAATGAAAGAAAGTAAAGAAAAAGCCAAAGAAAATTCACCAAAAAGATCTAGACAGTGCAACCAAAGAAATCATGCATTCTTTAAATATCTTTAAGAGAATTAAAAGTAATCGTAAGTAAACAATTTGGTGAAATTGGTAGTGATATACCACATAGCCAATTATTTACATTCTTTCTGTATAGAAAGAGAACAACTGTATAAGCAAATGTATAAACTGTCGAAGTTACCACATATCCCCTCCCAAATTTATTTTTTCATCCTTTAAACTATCTTAACCACAGAGAAAAAGAAATTAGTTTCAAAATATAAGCTGCTCTGGCAATAGGAATTTTCATAAAAGAAAAACCTACTAAATTGTGAAAGATTGCCAGTAGACAATTAAGGAAGAACTGCTTAATAAATGTATTCTAAGTAAATATGAGGGAAACATAGAAAGAGGAAAATATAAGATTTTAGTAGACACTAAACATTTCATTTCAATACTATAATAGTTAGTGACTACATGCTGGGCAGACAGCACCAGACTGAGGCATCCACAATGAAAACAGCAAGAACAGGACTCTGGGTACAGATGTGAAAACATTCCCAAATCCTGACACTCTACTGCCTAGTTAAGGGTCTTTTTCCAATAACTGTAGAATGTGTATGGTATAAAATACCAGCCAACAGTGATCTAAACATGAGATCAAAAAAGAAAGAAAGAAAGAGAAAGAATGAGACAGAGAGAAGAGAGGGAGAGAGAAAAATGGAGAAATTAAATTAAAGGATGTCAATACCATGAACAGAACCAAATTATTTAGGATAGTTCCTTGAGTTAAGTAATTTAATGTAATATGAGGAAAGTGAGCAAGGGATTTCAGAGTGAATACAATGAAAAATTTCCTGACAATAAAGTCTTATAAGACTATAGAACAATCTAACAAAGAAAACAGAATCTTTCTCAACTGCTTGAATCAGTCAAAATGCTAGAGAACTAAGTAACTGAGAACAGGGGAGAAAGTAATCAGGATTAGAAAAGGGACAAAGTGCTCCAGAAGAACTGTCTCAGTTCTAATTCACAACGTTGTGTGTGCTTTTGCAGATGAGCATAATTCTCAACTCCATTTCCCAAGAATACTTCAAAACAAACGCAGGTGATAATGGAGAAATCAGGTGACAACTGCACATTTAATGACTCTTCTTTTTGGTCCAGAAGTCACTGCTGGCTTCAGTTATATGAAGTAATATCTGGTTACTGTTTTTTTTTAATTGCTGCTATATTTATATTGATGGCAATAATGTGTGTCTACTGAAAATGACCTAAGCTAGTCCCTTCTAGGCTCTGCGGTTGTGAATTATGAAGCTGCTATCAAAAAGTAATAACTTCCAATAGTGGTAGTCTAGGTAATTTCTATTAATCCCGCTCAGCTAGAAAAGGTGGACAAATTATTTTGTTTAAACTACAGCTTAAAAGCATCAGAGAGATAACAAGATAGCATAGAATTACGGGAGGACCAGGAAAGTAAGATCAGAGCTTGGGCCTGCTCTTCTCCCTGGGGGCTTCAGCTAGTTCTGGAGAGGGAAGCTGCAGACAGCTCAAGAGAAATTACCTGAACTTAAAGCACAAGAGTACTGGAGTAAGGGTGGGTGTGAGGGGTGGGGGTGGTGGGTGTGAGGGGTGGGGGTGGTGGGTGTGAGGGGTGGGGGTGGTGGGTAGAAACTGTCAAATTTTTAAATTTTCAATATCACAATTTTCCAACAATCTGTAAGTTCCCTACCCAAGCTTTAATACGTTACTGATGTTATTCAAGAGTCTTCCTTCCCAATTTCCCAAAAGACAGTAATGGAAAGAAAATGCATCCATGCCTAATTAGTTCTAGCATTCCAGAGATGTTTGCAGTAATTATAGACCTAAGTTTAAATTAATAAGTGGGTATTTTTATCACTTATAATCCTAAAACTCAATCAATAAAAACCAATGTATAAACTATCAAGGCTGAGAATCATTTACTAGGCTGGCTATATAGTCATAAAGATAAAACCAGTTCTTGAAACCTGAGTAAAGTAACAGGTGCTTCGTGTACGTTTTAATAATGTTCATAAATTCCCCTTCAAAAGTAAAGTCAAAAATCAGGTTTGTATTATCCAACTGATCAAAAACAAGGATTTGGTCTGAGAACTCACTATGCACTAGGCAGTATGCTAAATGCTAGGGAGAGAGCAGCGGTATCAATTACCATTTTACCCTACAAATTATTCTAACTGCTCTACAAATGGCATGATACTAATAAGCATTTCTGTGAAAAGCCATGTAAACTAACATGTAAAAACTTTCCCTTTCAGACAATCAAAAACACTTCGTCTCACCTTGGCACCGTATTTGGAATAGTTCATTTCTGTTAGTGTTACTGGTCGTAATTTGTCAATATCTCCAAAGGCTACTCCAGGAACATACAGGGCACAAACAATGTGAACCCATCTATAAGGAGAGAAGATATGATTCTGCTATCAAACCTTTTCAAAAATGTCCACATAGAAAATAAACACAAAATATGTGCCATCTCTAATAATTACTCAAAGAATTCTATGGTCAGACAGCAAAATCTCAGACACGCAACTAAAGAATGTGAAACATGTATGGAATGGTATCATTTAGTTACAGAAAAGGGACTGCAATAAGCACTACTTTTCCAGCAGCTTAGCCAAAGCTTAGAGTTAACAACTATAATTGCCTTTCACTTAAAATTCTCTGCACTTTGCACCTACCTATTATTCTTAAACATTTGCACACCACCACTATTCAAATGAAACAAAACATCATTTTCATGTGCATGGAAAGGTATTCACATTCATTATTTTAAGTACTTTGAGAATTAAGGATCCTAATTTAAGAACTGTGAAGTTGCTCTATAGTAATTAGGTAAAATTGCTCTTTCTTATTTTTTTCTAAAAGCTGTTGGATAATCCTTAAGGACATATTTTAAAACAATTTTTGGTATGCGTCTTGACTTTCTTTCTTCCCAGGTTAAAAATGACTACTAGAAAACTGTACAGAACAGTTATAACAAACAAGGAAGTCATATTTCATTCAACTCATCTGTTCACCATACAACCCGTGAACTAAAACTTACATGCCCCACATATAAATATTTTTTAAAGTCTGAATGATCCTGCAACACTAAACAAATGCTCAAAGTTTCAGCACACTAAAAAGAAAAAATAAACAGGAGTTTATTCTAATTTTGTTTTTTAAAAACTGCTCTGAACCTTTTGAAATATATTAGGCACCCTTTCTCTGTGCTTACAACCAAACAAAATAGGGGATCACTGGATTCTGAAATTTAAACAGATCTGTATCATGTCTGTAAGAAAGAGGGTAAAAATGAGATGGCAAATATCTCTTAACCTTGTGACTATATTAACCACAAATTCTGCTTTGTCACAGCTTAAGAGGCTATGATTGCTACATGGTTCTATTTTGTGATGCACTATGAGTTTTAAAGGAATAAGACTAAGAATCATTTTATAGAGCTACTGACAAAAATAGTTACAAATCTTTAAAAATTATCTTTGGAAGAAAATCCAAGGTTTTGAGATTTTTCTTGATAGAATGTTTTAATCCAACCTCCCAAATGCATCCTGTGGAGTTCAATATAAAGATACACATCTTCAACAAGCAGCTGCTTTCTCAATTTAATTTGCACAGTTTTTTCATGCTCCACTGGTGTATCAAATGCCACTGTACTCTGGAGGAGTTTATCTTTGATAGGTCCAACAGCTGGCTGCGTGCTTCATACTGACCTTCTTAAAATGTGTGAGTACAAGTCACACAAGTACTACATATTTGAACTGCCATTTTGGTGTGACTGGCACACAAGTGTATCATTTCCTCCAACCACTCATGTGAGGATACCAACTTGAGTCTTTATTAAAATACATCTCAAACAGCTGAGACAACTTTGGTCCTTTTTAATACCTGTTGTAAATGATTTTTGTTCATTTGTTTAGCTGAACAGAACTTTGTAATTAAGACAAATCAAGAAATCAAAAAAGAATAATCTTCCTTGTTACTTTACCATCCATTTTGCTTGGAGCTATGATGACAGATGTTGATTGGGGAAAGGAGCAGAAAACAAGCACCACATAAAACCACCAAGAAACAAAGAGTCAGAATTGTCATTCTAGCATAAAAACTATCAATAGATTCTTTCAAATTCACAGATTTTAATAAAGCAAACTAAGTAGAAAGATACTTCTCAAAAGACTCACTTCAGAATGGGAACTATATTAACCAATCAAATTTGATTTTGAAAAGCCCTGCATCTGTAGTACCTTTACAGCATATACAACTAACTCACTTCCAGGATGCTATTTTCATTTCTTTGCCTCTTCATTCAGTAATCAATTGCTAAGTGTCTACTGGGACACCACCACAGAGGCAGTTCGGAAGTCATAATGATGAATGGCAAGTGCTTGCAACATCGGGTCTAGCGCATTATCTCTAGATGTTAGAGTATGTCTAATATTTCCCACGATCAGATTTATAAGACCACTTAAGACAGAGTAAAATACTCTAAGGAATGAAATAAAAATGCAACAACAAGAATGTACTGATGGTGTTCTCACATTAAATCACATCATCTTCTACGTAGAACTTGTGGCTCCCATCACAAACAGAGGGGAAAAAGTCTAATTAGCCCACTTACAGAAGTCAATTTCAAAACCTTTTTCATTCTTTCTTTCCCCCTGTTTTCCATTTGAAGCTGGAATACTAAACAGCTTGTCAAATCTTGGCATTTTTTCCCTTGAATCAAGCTAGTGTTACATCCTTCAAACTATAACAATACCTATAATTTCCACTATAGCCTATAGGTGAGTGTGGACATCAACACAAATAAAATGTTCAAATAGTATAAAAGAACTTTTGCCAGGCTGCACCATCAAGGGAGCTGACTACACATGTAAGATCCACAGCAGTCAATACAAATCTCTCTCTCTAAATCTAAACAGTTAAAGAGGTTTCCCTTTCCTTCACTCAGAAACAAGTTTACAAGTTGCTTTGTGGATTATGACAGCATCAAGAGACAGCTACTTTAAAGTTTTTCATTAAAACTTTCAAATTATTCACAAGAAAAAAGGTAAAAAAAAAAATTCTCCTCCCTAAAAGGAAGCTCTGTTTTTTCCAAAGTTGCCTTACTTATTTACTACAATTTAGCACCATAAACTTCAACTCTGAGGACTCAAGAGGTACCAGAAAGAATTTAAGCAGCTGGTAGCACCAGTAGCAGCAGCAGAAGCAGCGAAAATAGAGAGACATTTACTGAGCACGTATTAGGTTCCAAGAATTGTACTAACTGTTTTACATAAATCATCTCATTTAATCTTCTCAGAAGTGCTAAGGAAACTGATGCATAAAAAGGTTAAATCACTTGCCTAAAATTAGTAAGAAAAGACGAGCATCCAAATATAGGCAGTTTCCCTTGAAAGTACACATTTTTAATGCTGTACTAAACTTCCTAATTCTAGGCCAAAGTCAGTCCAAACATAAAATAATGGCCACGTCTATGACGAGACCACAGATTCAGATCAATACAGCAAATCATTTGTTATATATTTATTTTACTTTACTTTATTTTTGGATGGGCGATTAGGAAGAAGAGGTAAGATGTTTAGCCATTTTTGTTAGACATCACCACAAAGGGTTCTCAAAGAGTCCACTGTAGATTCTATGCTAGCCCAACAATCTTGTATGACAACATTTCTCAAGGGCCTATGTACCAATTGAGGCAAAAATAAGAAAAATTAAAAAATATAATTTTTACTTTGCTACAGTAAAATTCATTAAATTTAAAAGCCTATCCTTTATTTTGGGACGAAATGTATCCTATTCCTTTCAATGTTAAATACAGGACATGATAGTGATAATTCATATAGGTTGTTTTGTTGTTCTTGTTAAAATATGAAACATGGCTGATAAAAATACTGAAAAATCCTTATGTGGCAAAATAAAAATTGAGTACCCCTTCTCATAGGGGGTGGGAGGGAGGTGGTGGGGGTAGTGATCCACAAAACACAAAAGGTTAGGAACTACTCTTATATTTCAGTCATACATCCCAGATGGTAATCTGGGGAAAACATGAAAGATGTTAACACTATTGCAACGAGAACTGCTCAGATATGATAGTAGATATGAGTGTGAATATAGTGAAAACATGAGTCTTTGGGCCAGTGTTCAATTTATTTCCTCTCACCTCCAAATCTATCCTTCAATATCTGCTCTGCAATAATGGACAAAATACTTTTAGCATTTCTCCTCCACAGTGAGCATGTCATTAAGCTGTCTTAGCAAAAAGTGGTGGAGGGCACTGTAGGAGGAAAGGGCTTCTCAGCAGGACGAGAGGAGGACATCCGTCAGTGTACTGGCCCAGCCACATGCCACGGTCCCTCAGTGACCTCGTAAGCCTAGCCCAGAGATGTCTTTTCTGTAGCCCTCTTGACATAGACACCACACACTCTAGGCTTCACATCAGTGCCCCGGCTCCCTGTGCTCAGCCACCTACTTGCCAAGAACTTCAAATCAGTTCTGGCCCAGGCAAACCAGCAAACATTTCCCAGCTGTCCAGAAGGATGCAACGACACCTTCTCCAACAAGGTCTGAACCCCAGCCTGGGCGAAAGGGTCATCCTTCCAAACTTGTCATTCCCTTGATACTCTCCCTCAGCCCTAGGGCATCCTTTAAACTTCTGTTATATCTTATGGTTAATCTTTTATCATGGCTTAATAATTCTTTAAATTAAACTTACTCTTTTTTTTAATGAGGAAGCTTGGCCCTCAGCTAATATCTGCTGCCAATCTTCCTCTTTTTCCTTGAGGAAGATTGTTGCCGAGCTAACACCTATGCCAATCTTCCTCTACTTTATGTGGGATGCTGCCACGGTGTGGCCTGACAAGTGGTGCTAGGTCCACACCCAGGATCAGAACCTGCAAACCTTGGGCTGCTAAAGCAGAGCATGCAAACTTAACTACTACACCACGGGGCTGGCTCCTTAACTTATTCTTTTCAAATCACCTTATGGGTTATGTCTCCTGATATACTCTTGAAGCCAGACAGATCTGGGTTCAAACTTGACTATTCACCAGCTTGTGGTCTTGAGAAAATTAAAATTACTTACACGATCTGAGCCTCAAGTAGTACACCTATAAAACGGGAACCTTTACCCATCTGTCTCATCATATGGTCATTATTAGGATTAAATGGGATTATGGGTATAAAGGCAAATGTTGATACTCAATAAATGGTCTTTCCTCCTTCCTGCTCTTATCCATAGCCTATTGTCCATTTACTCTATGCCAAGAAGATACAAAGAAGCAATCAAACGAAAGTGTGTAACTCAGAAAATCATAAATAAAAGAATAGAGTAGACAGAAGTATATTATAGAAGAAGACAGATTATAAAGCAGGCATATTAACCCAACAGAATTATGACATCAACCTTCCAGCATCTGTCTCCTTGAAAATTCCATCCTGATTAGGACACAGTTCACAGCTAGGGGAAACACCACATTTACAGGCATCACAAAACCAAGGTTCAGTGGAGTTCTCAGAAGCTGAACTCATAATAGAGTCACTCTCTCCATCAACTCCATAACAACCTAAAAAAAAAAAATAGTATGATTAAATAGTTGATTTTTTTAAACTGACGTATAAAATCACAAAAGAAAAACGGAAGGGAAGGGAAACGGAAAAATTCTGAAAAACTAATAGGTTAGAAGAACGATATTAACATCAAAACACAAAAGTGAAATCACTTTATAAAAAATACATTTTCACCTACCACAGTACACATAATAAAATAAATGACTTTTTAAAATAGTGTTAGACCTACTGGAAAAGCATTATAGGAGGGGAAAAATTTATAGTTCTTTTAAAAATTATTTTAATAAAATAATATTTAAATATGACTTTTCATTAAAAAGAAATCAGGTTGACCCTAGAGCTATGGATTAGTCAATATTTCTTGAGCTTTCTTTGTACTGAACATTAAAATATATATAGAAGACCAGATTCACGCAAAACAAACATACAAATTTGCCTCTGATCTAATTTTGGAGGTGGCATACCAAAACACAAACTCATACAATCATAAATGCAAAGTAAGTATTAGTAGAAGGAAAATAATACAGAAACACAGACACACATAGAATTGACGGCTATAGAACAACTTGAATAGTTCAGACTAGAATCAGACAAGCTGAGTTTCATTGACAACTGAACCAACCAAACTTTAGCTATATGAGGTATTAGATCTTTTTAAACATTACAATTCTATCTTCTGTAAAAAGTTATCCATAACTGAAATGAATGAAAACAAGAGATTACTCTCTTTTTCCTCTTCTCATTCACTAAAAACTCAATAATCCGGGAGGAGTTAAATTATTTAAGCAGATAACATGATAAAAATGTTTAAAGATCCTCATGAACATACCAAACAAGGATTACTCAGCATAATTCTTTACATTTTAGAGTAGAAAATAGTATCCTTCAACTATCTTCCAATTATCAAAACCAAAGTTTCCTCATTAACTCAAATAAACATGTCTGGAAGTATAAATTATATTTAAAGGAATTATAAATATGTCTAAAATTTTTATAAAATCAAAAAGATTTTCCTTGATTTTGAGCTTAACAAAAGTAGATTATATGTCAAAGATGTAAACCAACATGAAATTCAGGCCAGGACATCACTGTCAATATATTGGTCCGATCAGGTTCTCATTGTTAAAATTCCTGAAACTCAATTTTGTCAAGGTGAACTCAGTGTTGAAGCAGCTCTCAGTGCCTGAAAAACCAACTAAACTTACCAGAAAATGATGTCACATCCATTATGAATAATTCTTTCTCAGTATAAAGATACCAAGAAGAATGCATTGGCACCAACAAAGTACTAATAATCATGTAATTCAATAAAGGGGAATTGAAGAGTTGAGAGATAATTTCACTCAGACTATAAAAAATCATGCTGAACTACTGATGGCTTATAATAAAAAGTATTTCTCTGGTGACTACAATAGTCACAACTCCTAAATATTTTCTTTTTCCTAAATGATGCTGGACACACACCAACTTTATATATTCCAACTTCTATTCTTCTAGAAAGGAAGACACCACCCTCACGTTAAAACATCCCTCAGAGAAACAATTTAATGCATATATAGTAGTGAAATAGATTACAACTTAATTCTAGTCCAGATGTATGCCCTCCTCATCCTTAGGCATGGGCATTTTTCTGATCTCCTAAGACATATTTATTACCTCTCAAATAGGTCACTTCTATAGATAGCCAAATATCAACTATCCCAGGACACTTCTGACCAGGTTTATTCTAAGAGGGTAGTCTTAGTGCCAAATTCTAAGGGGCACCCAGAGTAACCTCCAATAAACTGAAGACATTAGAAAAATCACTGTGAGAAACATATATAAGCAACAATCATCTCTCAAAAGGCTTCACGACTTAGACAAGTTTATATGCCCCAATGTAAGGTCATGTGATTATCTGACCTGGTTATACACTACACAGACAACAGGAGCCTAAACTGGAAAGCGCCTTGTTACAACCACCAAAGATATCCAAATTAAAATACACCACTACAGAAATAAATACAGAGTCAAACAAATCACTCAGGAAAAAAAAGAACCATATACAACAAGTAAATAATTTTAAAGTATCAACATTAATTTACCAGATGTCATTAACAGGTCAAGAGTCATGTATAAGTATTTTATTCACACAATATTACCACTCAATATATATTATAATTAAAATAGCCAAGTAGGCAAAAAACTAAAGTTGATTTGCAACTATAACTTACATAAGTTGCCTCAAGCAAGTCCCATAATTACTGTCATCCTTATGCTATTCAAAGACTTTATAACAGTGAAACTTAACATAATCTGAAAGTCATATGAAAGAATGCCAAAGAATGGATTTTAAAGGAGCTAGCTACAGTACACAAGATAGCAAAGGAATCAAAACTCATTAATTTCTTTAATATCATTAAATTGTGGCTGTTAATCATCATCTTCATCACTTCTGTTTAGATATATGTTTTAAAATGACAAATCGTAAAATTAAAAGGAAACAATTTTCTTCTTGGGAGCAGCTATTATTGATTGTCACCAATAAAAGAAAATTTCTTGGTAAAAGCAACAGTAAGCAAAATGCTGTATTCAAAGAAAAATCATAAAACAAAACAATAAAAATAGTCAATCTATTTTCTCAAAGGGTTACACAATAATACAAGGAAAAAATCTATTTTCTTTACAAAATAATGTTCTGTTGAAGCAAATTCTTTCATCTGTCTTCACACAAAGTAGGCAATTACTAAGATAATAAAGCCCCAAGGGGCTATCCTTTTTATTTATTTCATTCAACAAAATCAAGGTAAATCACAGCAGTTCACACTTTAGAAGAAAGGAAATTTTCAATTCTATTTTTAAAGAATATACTACACACAAGCAAACATTTGCACAGAGATTAAACTACCTACAAACAACCTCAAGAATGATTTCTAAGGGACTCTCCTAGGAAATTCCTACTTTGTGACCTGTTCTTTGAACAACCAGCAAGTGGGTAAGTATTTCTTCTTCAGCTTCACTGCCCCTGAAAAATGCCCCACACCTTTATTACCTTTAGAGAGTTCTTTCCTTGCCTTTCACCTGCCACTTTTCCCATCTTTCTCTGCCATAGCTGTTGGGTTTACTCAGCTCTAGACCAAAGTTCCAGCACTTTATATCCACTCTAATCCATTTTAATTAATGACTAAATACATTTTAAATTCTTTTTTTCTTTCTTCCATACAAAACAGAGTTTACACTATCATAAAACAATGTTTCTTCTCTTCTACCTATGAGTAGAATATGCAAAAAGTGCATCTTCAATATGACTATGGAAAAAAAGTTTACTTATATGGGTAAATATACAAAACAAAAAATCTATAGATATATAAAATCCATTTCATATGGATTAATCATGTTTTCAAATGAGTAAACATAGAAAATGGGTTTCTATGACTATCTAATTAGGATTAACCTCTGAGTAACACCTGCAACCCACACAAATCATATTTAAGAAAAAACAAGTGCCAGTCTGGTGGCGTAGTAGTTAAATTCACGCCCTCCACTTTGGCAGCCCGGGGTTTGTGAGTTTGGATCCTAGGCATGGACCTACACACCACTCATCAAGCCATGCTATGGTGGCATCCCACATTCAAGAACTAGAAGGACTTACAATTAGGATATACAACTAGGTATTGGGGTTTGGGGGAGAATAATAAATAAATAAATAAATAGAGAAGAAGACTGGCAACAGATGTTAGCTCAGGGCCAATTTTCCTCACCAAAAAAAAAAAAAGGCATAAAAAAGTGTGTGTGTATATATATATATATATGTGTGTGTGTGTGTGTAAAGTGTTTACAATTATTTTGAATTAACCAAAGGTATAGATAATCCAAATCAGTGTAAATTTTCCCCATTCAACTTGTCACAGGGGACCAGAAGACCTGCCTGCAGTCTTCCACCTTCTAACTACGTAACTTGGGACAAACCACACCTCTCAGACTGAGTTATCTCATCTGCAATATGTATTTAATAACATCTATCCCAATCATCTCTCAGTATAGAAAGGAAAAAAACAAGAACACACAAGCTGCCATTTAAAAACTTACAACACTTTTTCTGTATTTAACATCCTATCACTAGATCTGATTATAAAAACTACTAAAAGAAAGATCTTAAAGTGAGTAATATTGTTGTTTATGAGAAAAGAAGAACTTATAACACGCACAATACCTGTCACAAATATATCCTAAAGCATCAAGGAACCAGAGTGCCTGCTGACTTATAAAGTACAAATGGTTATAACTTGAACATACTTTACTACTCTGTAAACACTCATGAGGGTGTATTTTTGCATACATTAAGAAATGAAAAATGGGCTAGGGCTAGGCTAACAGTAGACTTAAAAATAAACAAATGTGGGGGGGCATCTCTTAGTAGACCTTACCTCATCTAATGCATAGCAACTAAACTTAAGGATAACAGCTGGCAAGTGCACTACCTAATGCTCTGGCATTACAAGTCAGTTACAAGATCTTGTCACAAAGGTGTTTACACTAAGTGACAGGTTGGAACCCTTCGATTTCAAAAAGAAAGAGATTTATCTAGATTTAGATGAAATGCATATTCAGAAAAGTAATTAGACAGTTATTGATTTAATAAGCAACATTTGGAATATTATCTTTTATCAAAAATCTCAACTTAAAAGCTCTCTTAGTTATGATTACTTAAAGAGCACATTTAAAAAAAAAATGAGAAGGAGAAGGAAAAGAAAGAAAAGACAAAGGAAACACACCAAAACACTAACTATGGTTGTCTGGATAGTAGTACTATCAGAGAAGGTTTTCTTCTTTCTATTCCAGATTTCCGACATTTTATTTAATATTCATGTATTATATTATAATGGGCAAATAGCTTTCTCTACAATAAAGTATTCAAGAAGTTCAGGTTTAAGCATGAGATGTTTAAAGAAAAGTTGCATGGCTGACTTAACAATGTGAAAGTCTGTCACCTGAGCATCTGGATTTAAAAAAAATA